AAGCCGACATCCGGGGCTATAACCGGGTTGGCGGACCACTGGTAGTTCACTCAAGGGAGTTGGCCAAAAACCCTGATTCCAAACCAACCAAGAGGAAGCGTATGAACCACACACACACAACTTCCTGGTTGTGGCAATGGTCACCGGCTCAATTACGCATCGAGGTGTATTGGGCACCTTGGACGTTTGACCCCGTCCGAAGGGCGTATGATCCGATGAACTGAACATCGGCCCCCATTGGATTGCAGCGTTTCGCACACCGCCCCGCTGTGTGTGTGTGTGTGTGTGTGTGTGTGTGTGTGTGTGTGTGTGTGTGTGGAACAGATCTGTATGAGTGATCCGGAGGCGTATGTTAGTGGTTAAACGAAAATTTGTCTAACTTTTCCAGAAAACCGCATCAACTTAATTCGGATTTAATTGAGCATCGTCATTTGCTTGAATTCAGAGCACAATGAGAAAAAATGTTTCGTCCTTGGAATAGCTATTTTGCTCAGTTTTTTTACCACCCACGCAATCAGTGTCAGTCAAACTTTCCTTCTCGATTCTAATTACCCACCGATCATCGGGGTAACATAAGTTTGCGTCTATTCTACTTCTGATTGCTCACAAACACGGTATTTGTATTTGTATTTGAGGGACTATATATGCATGGCTGTTTGTGTGTGTGTGTATGTGTGTGTGTGTGTGTATGTAAAACGTGAGTGAAGACGACAAAAAATGATGACTGAATTGTAGAAAACGTGATCAGCTGTCCAGATGAAGATGTGCTTTCCTCGGTGCACAAATTCCCGGTCAGTTCTCATCCACTCAGTAGTCTAACAAATAACAGTTTGGTTCAGGACCGATTCGTGATCTGGACGTGATTGTTATTTGACGGGTACCATGGCCTCACACATTCGGATATGTATCCAACCTCAGAATGTTGCATTTGCAGTCGTGTGACTCATTTGAGCAGTTGCATTCGACGCGGGCACATTTAAGCATATTCGTGTTTTAACGTTCGTATCACACTCAAATATGCTTAACCAAACAATAAGTAACGAAAACATACTTTTCATGTTGTGTTTGTGGAGGGGGGGGGTCTGAGATCGACTGGTAAACACGTTAGTCTTTCATATTATTTAGCACAATAAAAATTCATTAATAGCCAGAAATATCAATTTCAGCTGAAAGTATCAAAGGAGATAGCGGATGTTATGGGAAATACATTTTTGGGACGGAGCGTGAAAAGAGAGATTAGGTGATCAGTTTCTAATTGCTTACTACAGAGTCCGTCCAATATTGTGTCTCCAATATCGTGTTAGGGTAGCCGGTTGCTTTGTTCTTATGTCCATAGCCAGAATAGTTACGCCATATAGTAGATAGGCACAAAGAGCATAAAATATCCCCGGTTTGCTTCCATTAAGTAATATTGAAGTAGCTCAGGGGGCGTTTTGAATCCAGACTCCAATATTTTGTGGTTCGAATTCCAGCATGAATGGTACAAAACAAGGCTGAAACAACAGCAGCAACAACCACACAACACCATCTCAACAATCCAGTGCTTTCTTTCGGTCACCACCACCATCCTTACGTTACTACATTGCATGCAGAAGAAACAGTACAGCAAGAATACAAAATAACTCAGTTTATATTTGTTTGATATCGGCGAGAGAGGAGGAAAACAGACTAATTCACTACTTAGTTCTTCACATCAGTGTAAATGAGTGTATTGCATCATGTGACCGAAGTGTCACTGTCATACACTGGAGTAAGAGGCACAGCGTGCAGTTTATTTATGAAATATCCACAGAGTTTGACGTCACTTGGCGTGCATCGAATGCACAAAATCGAGGTTCACTGTGCAACGATTACGATAGGATAGTAAACTGAGCTAACTGGACAATGCTGAAACAGAATCCAGGTCTGTAAACCCGCATAAACAGTATTACGTCTTTTCTAACGATTCTCTTACGATTTTTTATTATTCTCCTGTTTCCTGGAATAGCTTTGATAAGCACTCGAATGTCAAGCTTTTGTTATCGATATCATCGTCACAAAACGCGTTGAGCTCGATTTCAATGGACAATATTTCTAGACAATGCGGGTTTAGACTAGTTTATTCAAGATTCCCACAGTAATGGTTGAAAAAATACGAAATAGCGAACCAGCTTGTCTCAGGTAACTTCATTCTCTGGTTGATACAGCTATATACTTATGGAAGGGACACACTGAATTTGCATAATGTTGTGTGTGTGTGTGTGTGTGTGTGAATTTAATTGCGAGATGATCGTTAAAAAAAACTAGTGCTGGACGGACTAAAATACAGATTAGACAAATAAAAGTTAAGTTAGGGATGAGGTTAATCACTTCCGATTCGGGTCGTGGAGTCAAGGAAAGCGTCATACCCAGTCGTGGTGCTAAGTTTAGACCGTGGCCATGAATGGTGAAGCGTTCCGATACGTCGTTTTAAGGAACAGGCGACCGATTCAACAGGCGGATGGTCTCGGTCACGAGCAGTTGCTAAGTGGTGTTGATAATCTGCCTTTGATGGTTCAGGAGTAACCCGATATGTCATCTTAAATGTTTCTTCCATCATTTGATAGCCTATTTGTGTGAACTGCAGATGGTCTTCCTCGCTGGTATTCGAGTCTAAGGAAAAAGAAGAAATATTACCAGATAAACGCATTTTCACGTACAGATTTATGGCAAAAATCAGACATGGATCTATATAATTAGTACTTATATGGAAAAACAATCATTAGGGCTTGGTTCGCCGTTCATTCGACTAGATTGCTGTGGGTGAGGGAGATCTGATTGCTGTAAAGACATGCCCCGTTTCTTAGTTTGTTTGTATAATTGATACCGTTCAGGTTGTTGAACGTTCAGTCCACGTGAGTCCCCATTAAGGTCAACTGCACGAAAACTGATGAGGATGATATTCAAATCTGTAGGAGGTTGCCAACAGTGATATAAATCTGATCCCTGGAGATGTACGCAATTAAGCCGACATGCTGGTGCAACTGAGGGCAACTACCAGACAGGATCTTTGGAACCGCACCCCGAAAATATCCCTTTAAAAGAGCGAATATGTTGAAATATGCCTCTTTTTATTGCTCTTATTTTTTTTGAACGTAGTATCCGATTGGTTTAATAACCTCTGTTTCTCTGAAATTATTCTAAAGTGCAATAGTCTTCCGTTTCTTTTGTGTACTGTATACATGACTATTGCTGTATCAGTGAGAAACGTTTCGAGTAACCGATTCTCTCCCCCCTCCACACACCCACACACTATCCTCCGATTGTACTGCACAGGCTTTTGGGGCTGTTGAAGCTATGTCCGATCGTATTTGTATTGCATCGAAAGGAGTACACAAACCACTTCTGAGTCCGGAAAATATGGTGGCCTGTTGCACCACATGTGGTATGGGTTGTAATGGTGGTTTTCCGCCACAAGCATGGAGATACTGGAAGGACCACGGTGTGGTGACCGGGGATCTGTACGAGTCCGATGTGGGCTGTCAGCCGTACTCGTTTCCACCGTGTGAACATCACGTGATCGGACCACGACCACCGTGTGACAAAGATGTGGTCACACCAAAATGCAAGCACGAGTGCAGACCCGGTTACAATACCAGTTATGAAGACGACAAGTGGTACGGTGAGTGTCAGGTGAATGCCATTTTATTGTCTCGGGTAAATAAAAAAGCGCAATCCGTCCCGCTAACTTGTTGACCTGCAACACGGAAGAGGAAAAAGTTCTGCCTACCTGGTGTGATACTCTGACGGGACGCTTCGCTTCGAATTGGGGCTGCGGGAATAAAGCGACAACAAGGCGGTTGAAACTGAATCGGAAAAGTTATGTTTGTTTTGTTTACTGCGGTTGGGTCCTTGGAAAGGATAAGCCGGCTCCAGACATGATCATGAAGTTCCTTGGGAGTTCACTACGAGAGATATCCCAGCGTCATTCGGCGTTTTTTTATTTTGAGGGCGCACCTCTAGCATTTGCACGACCTAGTGCGGACTGCAAGGTAGCAAGAGATAATCCCTCGCCTCGGAACGGTTCGGGCTCATAAAACGGATTGGTATTATCGGTTACCGACGGCTCACTAATTGCCGGAAATTTTACATTATGGCTANCTAAGAGCGGGCTCGCAAGAAGAAGTGAAACTAAGCACACATTCCATTGTCCTGACGTATTTCGCAACCCCGGGTACCTTTTGACCGCATGGCTATCGGTTGTGTGGTTTGTGTTATCGACCTTGCCAACCATTTAATGTGCCATTTGACGGTTTGCTCTGTCCACGCATGCGTCACCGCAACTGAAAGTGGACCAACCTGCAGTGTCAGGTAAAACTGGCTCGTTAACGATGTTTACGTTTGTTCAAATCCGTTCTACCAGCAGAGGTACAAGGCTGAATTCAGCAGCTGGGAATGTGCGATTCAGAGTTGGCTTCAACTTTTGGCGCGCATCGTTTGAACGCTACCTAGAAATATCTTTTCTTCTTACATAGAAAAATGCTGAGGAATTGTTGATTTGTTCTTCGTGAAACACATAAATATGGAAGTACAGAGGTAAACTGTTTCAGAAGGGTTTTTATAAGTTCACTCTCCGTAAGAGTAGGAACGTTGTCCACATAAGGATTGTAGAAGATGGGCTTGGAAATACTGTGGTTAGTCTTCTTTCTAAATCCTTCTTAAAAATATAATACTGGGTTGAACCTACTGGAGTCTCTATTACCACACCATCAATCTGTCTGTATGTAGTTGTTTTAAACTCAAGACGAATGTTTTCAGAACGCAAAATACATAAGTTACCTTCTTTGCAAGGGTTAAATAAACCGTCATAGTACTATTACGTGAAGGAGTGCATTAGTGAAACGTGAATACACAGTCATTCTTTGTAAATTCTTTGAAAAGTTTCCGATATTTTTGTAAAGTTTTCACAGTGGTAGATTATCGTTCAAATATTAAGGCATTAAAACTTACGGGTAGTATCTCGAATGTCCACCAAATATCAAGCGAGTTAATTACACGGTAAATTTGGCATACCAAATAATGGTCTGATTAGAATCCTGGGCTTACGAACTTTGGGCGAGTTTCTCATCTGTGGTGTTTCCCTGCACGGCTCAGTTATTCGTACAGGCTTTCAGTTACCCTTACGATGTATATTCATATCTCACCAATGTACCCCTCTTCACATAACAGTTAACTGCTTATATGATTGCACGTTCTATGGTAATTTTTTACTGCTTATAATGCCTCAACATTGAAGACAACTTGTTTTTTGTACTGAAAACATTCATCCTGAGTTTGAAATTATGGTGAAAAAATATTGATGGTATGGTAATAGAGAGTCCATTAGGCCGAATCCAGTAGACGCATTTTTAGGAATGATTCAACAGAGAATCACCGACAGTATTTCCAAACCCAATTTGAACGAAAGTTATGTCCTCCTCCTGTTCCTCGTCCTCCTCGTCTTCCTCCTCCTCCTCCTCATCTTCATCATCTTCATCATCATCATCATCATCATAATCACTCATCAACGTCGTACAAGGGGGAACTAGACAAAAGTTAACAATAAACCGTTTCTTCAGGCCAATGTTTGAATGCATCTGGTTGGAAGCGTAACCACAGATGCTGTCGACAGCATGTCAGTTTAGAATTTTAGGAATGTACAAAAGTGTCACTGTTACCACTCCAGTTGTCACGAGTAGCAATAAAACAACAACAGAACAGTGATTTAACGAAAACTGACCAAATCAGGTATGAACGAGAACTAAGACGATTGTGTTTCCATCGAACACTAACTAAACCTGGAATGCACTAATATGTCCTTGTCCGTTCACGTGCGCTTCACATCTCAATTTCTTTTTGTACTTTTTGCGATACAGGTGAAAAGGTGTACACTGTGCCGTCGGATGAGAAACACATCATGAGAGAGCTAATGACTCACGGCCCGATGGAAGTCTCATTCGAGGTCTATGCGGATTTCCCGAGCTACCGTTCCGGGGTGTATCAGCACGTGGCCGGTGGAATGTTGGGTGGTCATGCGGTACGTCTGGTCGGTTGGGGCGAGGAGAACGGTGTACCGTATTGGAAAATAGCCAACTCGTGGAATACTGATTGGGGGGAACAGGGTTATTTTAAAATCCTTCGCGGACGTAACGAGTGTGGAATTGAGAGTGATGTAAACGCGGGACTGCCCAAGTTGAAAAAGAGGCGAAACACACTAAGATTCTTCCCATGATCCGGATAATTCACAGAATTAAATTGATGCGTTGTTTTTTTACCCATGTTGAAGAACTGAACTGACAGTCCCTCCCTCTCTCTCCCTCACACACTCTGTGTGTGTTTCTTTGCGACATTCGACCATTCAATCTCATCTTCGATCATTCCCGTTTTATGCGCGTCATAAACTTCATTAGCTCTCGTAAAATCTTCATTTGTTCCCACATTTTACAAACTTAGTTTTTTATGCATCCGGAAGAAAACGTTCAATTTTGGCCAAATTGCGATCCTGACTTCATTAATAAAAATATATTCAGGCTGGTCACGTTGCGTGAAGGTTCTCACTATGCTGTCCAGGCATATAACAGGGCCAAAAGGGGGAAAAGCTTTCAATCCAGCTCGATTGGTTTTTCGGACGTATCGCTTAGAGAAAAGTTCCGTTTGGCAAACACAAGTTGGATGGTTAGCGTATCTGTGTATGTGTGTGTGCAAGATACGAGTTTCTATCAAAGGAATAGATCTGAAATGGAAAAAATACTTGTTCTTATCACATTTCTGAAATTTTTTGCCACTTAAGAAGAGCAGAGCCGCGTTATATTTATATATACATATGTTTGAATAACAGATCAGTAGAGTTGATTTAGAAGCAATGGATTGAAAGAAGTCACAATTCATAAAGTTCACTTTCATCTTATTCAAAGCTATTAGGTCCTCGAGGTAGATCAAAATATTTGTCCGGTGAAATGATAGTATCGTGGCACAATCTCTCGACTAGCATATGATGAGCCTGGATACCCTCGAGTTAGGCAGAGCTGAATGCTACCAGGCGCATCCCCAGGTTGAGCATAGGGAGATATCTTCATCGAAGATTAGGTGTGAATAAACTGTCGCATACCGCAACAAATATGCAGTCGCGAACAAACAGCGGCGGCACTATCAGGGTGATTTGATAAAGGTCGATATGACTGGCCTTTTGAAACTAGAGCCATTGACCTCTTCACTTCCGAGGCGAGGGATTATCTTCTGCTACCTTGCAGTTCGCACTAGGTCGTGCAAATGCTAGAGGTGCGCCCTCAAAATAAAAAAACGCCGAATGACGCTGGGGATGTCTCTCGTAGTGAACTCCCAAGGAACTTCATGATCATGTCTGGAGCCGGTTTAACCTTTCTAAGGAACCATTCACAGTAAAGTAAAGTAAGATATGATGCTAGCTGGCATTGAAATCTTTTGTACTGGGTAAAAATGAACTAGGTCATCACAAGACAGACCTATGGATGATTATGACCTGACAGGATTTTGTCAAACAGAGACACCATGTTTTTTCGCTTCTATCCCGACAGGGAAATTTCGCCGGTGACATAAACGCTGAAATGTAGCCGGATCAAGGTAATTGGTGTATCATTACATTGGGTTGTGCTATTGTAATTTGAACGTACTCCGGGCTCTCGCAGCGCAGCGGAGTGGACGGATACACGTGAGAGGATGTCCCTCAGCTCGTATTTTCCCAGCCAGAGACGACACTAGGCTTTGCGGGTAACGAACGGCGGACGGGATGCGGGTCACGGGTTGGCGAGGGAACACTTGCAGACAGGTCTTCCGTTTGTTGGGGTTGAAGTATAACCTACAAGGCAACACTAACAAACACCATGAAACAAAAGGATCCACTGAGATACAAGCACTCACGGTAAAATATTACTGGAGCGGGTACCAAGCGTTACACCACGATTGAACCGGGAATTCTCTACTTCTCGGATGCTAAATGTCATTGCTAGTTTTATACCTGGACCGGAATTGGGTGAATCACAGGCCCGGCGATCAGCGTACAACGTTACTGTTGTCGATGTTGGAAACTAAGGAGTGATTTAACAACAATAACAAAACAACCGAATAATATAAATTTTGCATGTTTTAAATAAGTTGATTTGCATCAATCGAAGAAGGAGGTAAGCTACTTTTCATTTCACTCCATACACTTTAGTGATGTATCACCGTCAGGGTAAACTCTAGAGTTACGAGAACCTATTTCTCACTCATGTAAACCGGTACCCCATCTCCCCAAAAATTTTGAATATATATACACATATATATATATATATATATATGATGTTCAGTTGTTCGCCGAGCTTGGCAATTGTATTACTAACGTTTCTTCACCAATGGAGGTGACATTGTCAACGCCGTACCGGGGTAATGAAACGTTTGCAATGCGATTTCCAAGCTTGGCGAGCAAATGAACATCAGGTTGTACTACCCGAGCTTCGAAAACATCAATCAACACCGTTGTTTACAAAACTTATATATATCTATCCATTGCCCTCGTGATGCAGATCACAGTAAAGACTGTAAGTAATTACCTCACTAATTTTCCGTTTGTCTGTTTGCGAATTATTTGAGTTTCGACTGGAAGCTCAAGAGTTTTGGTTGTTAACGCGGTCATTGTAATGCGAGATTCCAATGAAAAGGTGAATGCACTAAACACCTACAATAGTTCATCACACCGATTGTCTTTACTGAGAACCGACTACGACTGTGTTCAAATGCACATCCAGACGCATAAAACTCAGACATCATCTACGTTTTCTTCTGTTTCCATGAATTATGTGATTTTGTGATATATAAAAGATTCCTGGATTTGGTTAGTAAATGATGCACCGAAAACGAGCTTGTTTGCCCAAAGGACTCCTGAATACAGTCAACGGGTATTTTCCAGTATAAATAAATAAAATATTCACAGTCTGTGGCAGTGGAAATTACCCCCAAACGGTCAGATCGCGTTGTACGAGTCGCTGGTCTGTCAAACCAATGATTGGTGCCGGATATGATCATCCACCCTCAAATTGTTCCCTGTAGCTCGGACATGTGGGAGGACGGAATGCGGGGATGGGTGGGTTGGAAAGATCTCATTTAATTTAGGAAAGCATTTTTTCATGTTGCACGATCGGTCGCATCGTCATCATCGGGTATTTTAAGCTGCTTGCAACCAAATGGTCATTCCCATGTGTCCCTGGCTTCATTTATCTGTTTTCCCCGGCCAATTAACGTGCTTTCGGTCATATTATTGGCCCGGTGGAAATAAACGCGCGCGCACACACACACACACACACATACATAAACGACGCCATCTGATCAAGCGGATCAGCACTTTTTTGCACAACGGAAACGAAGAATATTTGGAACAAAAACGCAGAAACGCAAAAACGGGCAGAAGGCGTTTTGGAACCCGGATTTTGTTTGTGTACGAGATAAAAGTCAAATGGAACTGGCTGGCAGATAGCGGGGGAAAGATGAATGGAAATCGGAGCAAATGTGTGTCTCGAATTGCGATAACTGTTACCTTCCCAGGTGGGAGCAACAGACAGCAGAGAATCCGTCCAACGGGGTGAATAATCCTTGACCGAACAGGAGTTGACTTGAAGTCAAGTCCATCCAAGTCGCGAATTGCTTTATTCATCCAAATGGATGAATTTCCAGCTAACTGCCAACCATGATCATTTATCATTGCGTGCAGTCAGGCACAATAAAAGTA